AATTTAGTATGGAAAAAGTTCAAGTAGTAATATTTTGTCATTTTACTCAAATAAGTATCAAACCCTGTCCTCAATTCTTCTTTCCAGAAGGCTTATCAGGTTGGTCACAGTCTGTGATAGGGAACCATCCAATGCATCAACAATTGTCAGACCCAAGCACATTCTCCCAGCATCAACCAATGGAGAGAGATGATTCTGGAATGGTAGCCCCCTCTAACATTTTTCATCAACCTATGGCAAGCAGTTTTCTGGATTTTTCTAAAGTGAGTCAACAAACATCATTGTAACTTGTTTAACACTTTGCCAGCTAATGTTAAGGAATAGTTTGTATTGAAATAATTCTCCCTTTTGGTGTAACAAGTTTGTTTCCATGACTTGGCCAGATCTTTTAGTAGAGTTTCCCTTCTCTTAGCACAAGCTTATTGATGAAACTAAAATATGGAAAAGTTGAGGGTATTCTATGTGTTCATCAAAGCTGGGAAATTTCCTGATGATTTGATACTGGATTTAGTTGGGGGTATTTTCTTCTTATTGAAAAGTGTTGCTAATGCAGGTAAACCACTTTTGGTTTTTCAACACTGTATGATGTTATATTTTAAAGGATCCTCAGGAGTTCTGTGGATGAAGGGAAATTAGAGAGATCTAAGCTGGTATTATGGAATCATCATTTCACTTCAGGATTAAACTTTTCTTTCGCTCTCTTTCATAGGGTCTGCCAATTTCCATGTATGGAGGCACCATAATACCCTCTCATCCTCAGCTTGCTGATGTTCCAGGTGGACCTCTGTTTAATGGACTTCACAACCCAGATCCTGCTTGGAACCCTATGATAAAAGTTATTCAAAATTCTACTGAATGCACTGATGCCCAGCAGGTAAAATAGACTTAGTGCTCTCTTATTTTGTCATGTCATTCTTTTAATTCTTTGGGTAATGCAAATTCTGAATATCAAGTCATGACATCTGACCACCTTCATCTGAATTAAGTTTTTCAATATCAATATGATGCTACTAAACATTTTATCTCATGTAATATGTATTCTTCCTAGGCAGAAACAGTGAATTGCCATTGCATTTATATATTCATTTTGTAAATGTCTAAAGATTCCTAATTAGAAATTCCAATTTTTCCTCCCCCTTTTCAGATTTGGCCTGGCACGTGGGCTCCTCATATTGGAAACATGCATCTCAAATATGTCAACTAAGTTAGAAGGTCTTATTCTTTAGCCTTGTTTGAGAAACCTATGACCTTGGAAGAACCCTGGGGATTTTTTTTTTTTCTTTTAATGTGCCTAACTAAGAAATTTTCTCTGAGGCGTTAGCAATGGAAATTTGATTGCCCATTGTATAAGAACAAAGTGATTTCCTCTCCACCTGATTATGTTCTCTGGTTAGTTTAGCCATTTTGAACTTAGTGCTTTTGGCTAAACATACTGAATGCTACTTGTATGCAGAAGAGAATTAGATGATTACATGTTTCAACCTTTTAGGGTGGAAAATACATGTACAATTGTTTACATACTTAAAAGGAAAAAGTTGAGTAAATTTCTTGTCATATAGTGGCTCTACTTAATGTAGCCTGTATTAATGTGAAATATTTACCAGAATATTCAATAAAAAGATGAACAGTGTTTAGAAGTGGGGTGTGATCCTTTCAGTGGTCATGCAGGTATTACCCAGTCCACAATCCTATGGAACCAAGTTGTTAATACTGTTATTTCTAACAGGCATCTCACATTTTACACTTTGGAGATCATTTTTAGACTGCCTTGAGAAAACGTTTTGAAGACTAGTTATCTACCTATTCTGTGTTAAACATTCCTTATTTTCTTGTTCTCTTCCATATCATTTTATAAGTAGGAAAGTTTCAAGCCCCTGCAATGTGTCTTACGTGACTTTAGCAGATAGGCCTTTGCTGGAGTTAGCTCCTTATGGATCATGAGTGTCAATAAGGACCATGGGATTGCAATCAGATGATCCTGAACAAACCTAGGGACAGCCCAAATCCTCAACTTCAGGTTCTTTTGTGCTTCCTGACTTTTCTCTAAAGACTTACTTGGTTACAGTGTTTTATGTTTTATTTGGGTTGGGACATAGGAGTGGTGGGAGTGCCTCATGTAATACTGTGGTATTGTTGAATCAGCGGAGTAATCTTTATAAATATGTGGCTAATTCTGGGCTTAGTTCCACAGCCCCAAGTACAAAGAGCCAATATGTTTAACAAGCTAAACACAGGAACACTAGAATGGATTGCCTTGGCCAAACTATAGGCTATGCCAAGAATCTGATGCAATAGAGAAGGAAAAACAACCCTCTGAAAAGAACAGTCATCAACTTTTTCATGTTTTAATACAGTGGAGTTTCCTGGTTTTATGTATAGGCACTCTAGAAAAGAAAACAAGAAAATGCTTCAGGCCGATAGAGAAGTCAAAACACATATCAAGGCAAAGAAGAATGTACAAAAAAATAGTAACTGGCGGCAGAGCCTAACCAGCAGCACTTTTCAACTTCCATACCACCAGGAGTTCTTAATCTTCTCTGCCTGGCTCCTAAAGCCACCACTAAATGAGACACCCAAGTTCTGTCTTAGACATGCCTGGTTCTTTTGTCTTCCATATCATCTTACATACGAGAACTTCTTTAACCTCATTTCTTGTTTTCTGTTTTGAATGGGTTTGAAAAGTATCACAGGTGTTGAAGTTACCGCTTCTTTAGTGCTTGATAACCACATGAAGTATTCTCAAGAGACCCCTTGGATCACCTATATATCTTGCTGTTTCTATTTACCACTAACAACAACAACAACAAAAATCACCTAATATTAGTGAAATGAATGAAACTACTCTTAATGAAACATACACTAGTGAGAGATAATATTAAGTAAATTATTCAGTGGGACAAAAATGTTTTCCTGTCTTAGCAGTCTACAATACATTTGAATTATCTGGGAGAGCCCTTAACCCTATCTTCTGCACCTTGAGGATAACAGAGTGAGAAATTTTATCTCAGGTCAGGAACTAGAACCCATGAGAAGAGGGGACAATTAGGAGAAATCCCTAGGAGGATTAGGAAGAAACAGGAGCTGTGCAGTCCATGGCGGTTTTTCAGGATACCCGCCTCCTTGCCGTCTTACCGGCACTGCCTTCTTTTCTTTCTGTTTGGATCCCTCCTCCCCAACCCATTTTTCCTGCTATAATCTCTTCTTCCTCTGTCTTGCCTCTTCCTGGCATTACTTTACTGCTCTTTTACCAACCTGAACCTTGGATTAAACCTAGCTCAGGTAAGAACTTAATTACTTTAAAAATATACGAGGGATTTGGAGGGAGGCAGCATGGGTACAGTGGAATAAGACAAGCCTAAATTCTGTTTTCGTTTCTTTTCGCTTGAAGCTCTATGACCTTAGGCAAGTCATTTTTCATTTCTGGGCTTCACTTTCCTCATCTGAAAATAAAACTGAACATAAATGAACTCAAAAGAGTCTACTAGTGCTAACACAGATTTTCTCCTTTTTCTTGTGAATGAGAATATACGGGATGGGAATACTGGAAGCCAATAGAATGTTTACATTCCTGAGGTTTGAGAGCCCCTACCATTGGTTCTCACATGGAATCAGAAGCTGCTGTTGTGTGGGACAGTACTGATTTTGAGATTTTAATAGAGGCAGAAGAAAACTTTGCACATTCATAGTGAGACCTCACGTCATTAAGAAACATCCTGTTGAGGCATAGATTAAACCCCATGAGAATAACAGCTCTTTCAAGGAATAAAACTATATCAACGAGGTTTCTGGACCCACTTATTTCAAGTAGTAGTGTAATAAAATTCCACCACCAATAAAATTATTGATGTTTTAAGACCCTTTAAACCTATTGTGGCTACAGTGTGCTGACTTGCCCTTTTATAGGCCAGTCTGCTTCCTTCAGTCCCTGCTCTCAAAGGGGAAATCCCATCACCTCAGCTAACCAGACCGAAGAAGAGAGTTGGACAGCCAATGGTGGCCTCTCCTAACCAGAGGTAAGAAATCTCAGGACTTGGAACTACAATTTTCATCTCTTCTTATAGGTTCTGGCCAAATCCTCCTCCCATCCTCAAGGTTAGCCCATGAGGGGACTATCCTCGGTTTGAGGTATATTGTAGAAGGGGAAAGGCTAGTCATATTATAGTTTCAAGCCAAACAAAAAGGAGTAGTTAGTATACTTGATTCTATCCCACTGTTCAAGACCTTTGGACCCCATTGTAAACCCAGGAAGTGGCAAATAAGCCTGTAGAAAAACAGCTTCTGAACATCTTGTTCCCTAGCCCTAGATCGCTTCTACCAAGAAGTGTCGTTGGTTATGACATCTTCCCAGTGGACCCTGTCCTGGGGTGAGGGGCTCTGATAACACTGTATTTTCTATTCATCCTTAAAGACTTGTCACCATTTGTCATCAGGCAGATTCTTCACCTCTACTCTATTCTGTAGCAAATGAGTGAGAGAAAGATGATTTTAAGTATCCAGAACTTATGTGTATTAAGACCACTTCCAATCTAAGACCTAATTTGGAAAACCGGATCATGAATCTCACCACCAGACTGCCAACCTGTTTTGATTACTTTCACCTCCTGTTTTATCTTCATGCTATTGGTAAAAGTCCAAGTAGCTTGTCTGGTAGCAAAGACCTGATATTCCCTTATAGGCTTAATCATATCTCTGGGGTTGGAGCCTGGGCATAGGTCTTTTTCTTTTCTTTCTCTTTTTTTCTTTTTTGTGTGCTTGTCTGTTTTAAGCTCCCATATTCTAATGGGTAATCTGTGTTGAGTCTCTGATTTAAACTCTCGGTCCCTCATCCAGATTGCATGCATGATGTATCTGGCTTTCTAAGGCCAACAACCTATCTCTAGTTCCCCAGCCCTTAGCGCACACAGCACCTCAAGAAAAGTTTTATAGTAGTAGTAGTATTTATTTTTAAAAAAAGGCCACAGTATTATAGTAGTATAATATATAGTATATAGTAGTAACTACTGCTGTCATTTTGTAGTAGAAATTAACAGAAAGGTGACCTCACTTCCACAGGGATCCTTCTTGAAAACTTTTGACACTTCTCAGTCTCTCTTGGTGAATCCTCTTCCTCCACTACCTCTTAAATAAATGTTGATGTGCTCAGGCCTCTTCGTAGGCTATATCTTCTGTCCAGATGATCTCATCCCTTACTCTTGGATTTTACTCCACCCAGATCTGAAGCACTAGCCCAGATTTCTCCCCCTGAGCTTCAGACCTATGTATCTAGCTGCTTACTGTGCTGTTCCATCTCAGCATTCCACAGATACTATACATTCCCCAATATAAGATATGCTTCTCTTGTTTTCCCTGTTATATTAGGGAGTACTACTATGACCAAGACTTTTTTTTTTTCCTCTACCAAGACTTTCAAGTCAGAAGACTGGAAATTATCCTAGCTTAGCTCCCTCTCTCTCAACCCCACCCTTCATCAGTCACCTTCTCTTTCCCCTTCTGTGTATGGGGATCCTGACCACTTCTCTCCATCCTCATAGCCACTGCCCTTTGGTCCACCCCATTTCACTATGCTAGAATCTTCACCTTCAGTCTCACTGTCCTCCATCTTATTCCTCACTCCCCCCAACCAAACTTACCTCAAAAACGGAGTTGTGATAGACAGCTCCCCACAATCTGCTCCCAAGCCTTACCCTCCAGCACTGTCAGGACCCTTCTTCTAGGTATACACCACTTTGTAAGAGGTTCAGAAACATTTGGAACAATAAAATATAAATATCCTTGTTACTCTAAGGACCTGCAGACCTAAGGGACTGCATCATCTGGGATCTTATGAAAAACTTAGAATCTCAGGTCCCACCCTAAACTTACCATATCAAAATCCTCATTTACAAGACCTCCAGGTGATTTATGTGCACATTGAAATTTGAGAAGCACTGAGTTATAAAACAATTTTTAATGAGTGGAGAAATCAGAGCTATGGGAAAATCTGATGAAGTCAGAACTGAAGTAACATTAATACTGTTAAATGCATGAAGTCTGGTGGTCTGCACTTAATGGGGGTGGGTAGTAATACTGATTCTGAGGAAATCGGAAGACAACTTGATCAAATCAAGATTTCTAGTATATGTAGGTACTGGGCTTAATACTTTCTCTTCCACCACCTCTCTCCTGCCTCCTTTCATATCACAGTGCCTACATCAAAAAATGCCCTAAGGCCTGATCTTCCTTTCCAGGGGGCTAAAGATCAAGCCCTCTTCACCACCTTCCTTAGTTTCCTGAGGTTAGTTAGCTGTGGCAGCAAGATCAAAGAGCAGGCCTCTCTTATCCCCCAACATCTATTCATTATTCGGTCCAGGTATCACTTCTTCCAAAAAGGCCACCCTCCCTCCCTGACCTTCCCCTTCCTGCTGTGCACCAGGCCATAGGGCCACTTTTTACCCTGTACTGTAATTGATTAATGGGAGGCAGTCCCCAGCTGTGCTGATTCCAGGCTTTGGAATCAGATACTCTCAGGTCTGAATCCCAGCTCCCCCTCCTACAAGATAAGACTTTGCGCCAGTGACTTAACCTCTCTGGGCTTTCCTTTCCTCACCTGTAAAATGTGGCTAATAATAGTACTTTACTGTCCACAACCGTTGAGAGAAATGGGTGAATTAACACATGGCAGTAATGTGTGCCATACCTCACGGAGCCCCGGCGCCCGGTTTAAACAGTAAATAGCTGAGCGGCTGCAGCGCTCAGAGTCAGGCTGGCCAGTGTTGAGCTAGGAGGAACTGGAGGCCTGTGCGGGGCGCGGGACTCCTTTCACCTTTCGACTAGTCGGGCTTGCCCCCTCGCGAGTAAGGCGGGGCCGTCGGATTGAGTGACGGCTCGTGGCCCGCCCCGGGCGTGACGTCGTCCTGGTGTTGTTGCTGCGGCTGCACGTGGTCCACTGAGTCGCTTCAGAGTTAGCTGCGCTCCGCGTCCTGGGCACCAGCCGCTTGCCTTCCTGTTCGTCCCGCTCGCTATGTCCACATCCACGAGCTGCCCGATTCCCGGGGGCAGGGACCGGCTGCCCGACTGCTACAGCACCACGCCGGGGGGCACGCTATACGCCACGACCCCGGGAGGTCAGCGGGCCGGGCTGGGGGTGCGCGGGCATTGGGCAGGCCAGCGCGTGCGTCCTGCCGCGGGGCGGGAGTGGGGAGGTGCAGGCCTTGGAATCTGTCCGCAGGCCCTTTTGCAGGTTGTAGCTTTTGCAGGGGGTGGGGGATGTTTGAAACTGAAGCCCAGTTCCCTGAAACCTCAAAGTAATGCACGACGGCTTAAAGCCTAGCTTCCGGGTGACTGTGAGCTGAAATCCTCGCTGTGGCCTGGTTCTGGATGCCTTGGTCACCGGCCCCTCCCGACTTTGCCGCCTGGGATTAGGAGCCGAAGCCCCAGCAGTGCGTGGCCTCAGCAGGAAGCACCAGGTCTTACAAAGCGGCTAGAGCAGGACTCAGGCAGTTGGAACCAGGAGCTTTGGGTATCTGCGGCTGGCTGGCTGGCTGGCTGGCGGCTGTTTGGTTGGGCTGATTGCCTGGGATCTTGAGCTGCTGGGCTCCCGACCCTGGGTTTCCTGCCACGTGGAGCAGAGGGGAGGGGCAAGAACAGGGTAGGGCCCTTTGAGGACAGAACTGGGGCCAAGTTGCTGTAGGGTGGGGCTGAGCCTGATAGGACTTGGGAGGGGTCAGGATAAGAACAGTCTGTCCCTGTGTTTCGCGGGGAAAGCCCCTGTCCAGAGGAACACAGTTTCTCCCTGCAGGGTATCAGGATCCAGGGGGCAGCGGGGGTGAAACTCCTCTTTACATCTGCTACTTGGCTTCCTGAGCTCACTGCCTGAAGGACTAACGTCTCCCACCCCCAACCAAAGTAGGGAAGTCCCAGAGCCAGCAGAGCCAGACGAGAACAGTCCGAAGTACCTGAGTTCTCCAAGTTTTGTGCTCCTAGAACTGAGACCTGAAGCTTTCCTAAACCAGAAGCCCCTGCCTGGAGCAGCTGGGATGCCCCCCCTTGCTTTATGGCACTTAGCCACATCTTGGTTGGACCTGGAAGTCTTTAAGAGCTCTGAAGGCTCGTCAGCTGAGGTCCCAGCTGGGCTGCAGAGCAGCAGCCCTTTAATACATGAGGAAGTGTGAGTCCCAGGTCCCTAACAGGCCTGTGTGTGACACTCCCTTACAGCTCTGTACCCAGGCTCCAGCCTCTTAACTGGTCCCTACCCCTTGACAGGCACCAGGATCATCTACGACCGAAAGTTCCTGCTGGAGTGCAAGAACTCACCCATTGCTCGGACGCCCCCCTGCTGCCTCCCTCAGATTCCCGGGGTCACAACTCCTCCAACAGCCCCACCCTCCAAGCTGGAGGAGCTGAAGGAGCAGAAGGAGACAGAGGAAGAGATACCCGGTAAGGAAAGCAGGGCCTAAAATTAAATGCTTTGAGTCCAAATGCCCCTGTTAAGTAGAGTGGGGGTTTAATGCTGAGAGGGTTTTCTGCACTGATGCTAAGCTTTCTGAGCTTGTGGCCCAGCCCAGCAACCAGTCCTCCTGCCTTCTCTTTCTCCAGATGACGCACAATTTGAAATGGACATCTAATCCAGTGCAGATGATCCTGTGTGGAATTAGAGGAATCCCTCATACCGCTGCTGCCATCACCTCTTCCTGGTGTATTCCAGACACCAGGTGGCCTCATATAATCTGGAAGGGAGTGACTTGTTGATTTGGGGCCTCCCTTAGTTCTGAGGCAGCTAGACCAGGGATAGGAGTGGGCAACTTGCCAAGCCCTTAGCTCTACTCTCCCTTTGGTCTGTAGGTACTCCTCCCAACCCCCAGCCCTCCACCATCAGGGGCTGAGGCTGGGACTGAGGGGTGGAGTTATGTCACTGTCTGATCGCTTAGTAAAAATTCAAAGAATGCTTTGACTCGGGTGTTCTCAACACTGACCTTCCTCTCTCAGCCACACAGCCAAGGGCCCCAGCAGATCTGGTTAGGATCAGAGGTCCCAGGTCCCCTCCCAGCTGTCATTGGGCTGCAGTTAGAGCCTAAGCCAGGCTACGGGGGCAGGCTACAGGAGCCGCCAAACCATAAACAGCAGTAGCCTGACCCCTGCCAAGGGCCATTCCAGCCTTTCGAGGAGGCAGCCTTCCTGGAATTGGGCCTCTCTGGCAGTCCCTCCCTGTCTATTCCAAAGCAGGAAAAAAGAGGCACTGCCTTAGAGTTTAACTTTCTCCACTCTCTCCCCATGCCTTTTCTGCCTCCCACCTGTAAGTATCATCCCCTATTCCAACACTGAAAACCTATATTCTCCCCTCTCCGTTTGATTTGAATCTCTCTGGCCCCTTCCACCTGGCTCTCTTGTCCTCAGAGGGTTAGAAGAGACTTTAGGGCCAAAAATGAGGTAGCAGCTCTTTTGGTGAGTCAGACAGAGTCATGATCCTACCCCTAACCGACCGACCCCCAGCCCCCCAAAAAGTCATGATCCCGTATCTCAGCAATCTAGTCTTTTTCTCCTTCAGTTTACACCGCTATGTTCTAATCTCTATAGCACTGTGTATCTCAGAGGTGACAGTGCTAACAGGGCGGTCTCCTTTTCTTGAGGGAAAAATCTCCCCTGCTATTTAAACCTCTGTTCTTATGCTGAAACGAAATTATCCAAAAATAGAGCTACTCAGCCCAGCAAGGAATGTGTGTTTCCATCTATTTGGGGGGAAAGTGGCAGGCAGTAATTGGTCATGCCTAGCAAAGCCATTCATGATGAAAGGAAGAAGAGAGGTTTGTAGGGTACACAGGGAGCAAGGCAGTCAAGGACACCACAAGCAACTAGTTTGGCACAAGAAAGGCTTCTCTCTCCTACCCAGGGCCCACTATTAAGATGTTTTTATTGAAATGATATGTTATGGGTAACAGGTGACTTCCCTGTGGCCCAGGTGGCTGACACCTCTTCCCCCAGAGATGGGTAGATAGGCGAAGGATCCCAAGGAGGCAGACAGTCTCCCAGATGGTAAGAGGGAGCCAGGTGAGAGAAGGCCAAGGCATAGGAAATGGTGTGAGTCGGGATCCCACGGGATTATGGAACTTCTTGGACGCCTGGTACCGTCTGGTTCTCCTCAGCTGTGGCTGTAGATTTCTCTTCATTGGACTGTTCCTCTGAAGACAGATTCCTCTTTTCTGCAATTAATCTTTTAACTCCCACCATCCACTGACTGACCTCAGTCACATGGTCAACCATGAGTGAGCGGTGGATGTCATCTGCTGCATCCCACTGGTGACTTGAAAGCTCTGAGGAAAGAGAGGAGGTAAACAAGCAGCTTGGGGCAAAAGACCTAGCTCTCAGTCCTCTGATCCCAGCCAGCCAGAATCTCGGCATCTCTTCCAGCTGAGCCATCCATGACAAGTTGAGGGAGCTAGGCTAGACAAAGGACCTACCCATACCTTGCACCAGCAGGACCATCCTCTTCTTCACAGGCACTGACAGCTTCCCTCCAGCCCACTGTTCCCGCAGCAGACCCAGGCGGCGGCTGATGTCATCACATACTTGCTTCTGAGAGACAGAAGCCCCCTCCAAGTCAGTGCTGCTAGCCCAACAGGAGCAGGGGAAAGGCAACACCAAATAGGAAGTGGACCTGCTTTCTCTGGCCCAGAGAAACGCTTAAGAGTTCTGGGTAGAGGCCCCACTGAGAGTCTGACAAAACTTATGGATCTCCTCCCAAGAGAAATGCATATATGGCTAGAATTTTACAATTTCCAGAGTTTCTCAGATCCTCGGAAACTCATTCTGGAGTGCTAATTTACAAGTAAGAAAACGAAGGACCGCAGTCCTTTTATCCCCCCACTGGTGTGCCAGGGCTTATTACCTTTGTGTGGCCACGGCAGTCCTCCAGTGCCTCTTCCAAAGGTTTGAGCACATCTTCCAGAAGAGTTTCAGATTCGAAGACTGGGAAATTGGTCGGCCCCACACTGGAGGCAGGATGACTTCCCGCAGGTGGGGGCCTGGAAGCCTTATCTGAAGGAGGTGGAGGCCCCACTGGGGGAGGCCCAGGAGAAGTCTGTGAGGTGGGGACTGAAAAGGTAAAGTGGGATCAAGCAAACATGGCTAAAACAGGTAAAAAGCTCAATTCTAACTTCATCCCTTCTAGAAGGCTACTCTCTGGGACAACTCGTTCACTCAAAAATGTATATTTATGAAGTCTCTACCATGTGCCAGACAATGTGTAAGGCATGAGAGACAGAGTAGTAAACCAGATGGATTAGGTTCCTGACCTCAGAGCAGAAATCCTAGGGAAAGAAAACACACACACACACACACACACAAGAAAATTACCAAATTATGTTGCATGCTACAAAGAAAACGTGATGTAATAAAGAGGAATAGTAGGGGCGCCTGGGTGTGTGGCTCAGTTAAGCCTTGGACTCTTGATTTCGGCTTAAGTCATGATCTCATGGTTGTGAGATGGAGCCCCGAGTCAGGCTCCTCGCTCAGCATGGAGGCAGCTTGCTTGAGATTCTCTCTTCCTTTCCCTCTGTCCCTCCCCCCACTCATGCACACTCTAGCGCTGCTCTCTCTCAAAATAAATAAAATCTTTTCAAAAGGGGGGTATAGTACAAGGAACCACCCAGACTGAGTGTTCAAGGAAGGCCTTCTGAGGTGACTTCTAAGTTTATCCTTGCTTACCCACTACGTGGCATTTGGCAGGTTACCCTTAACCCCTGAGCTTGGGTTCCTTTTTTATAAAATGGGGATACCATGGTAGTAGCACTTAGTTCACAGGATTGCAGTGATGATTAAGTAAGAATATAGGTGCAACTGCTAGATTACTGTGTAACAAAAAGTGTTCACAAAGTTAATAGCTAATGGATGAGGTAGCTGCAGCCACAAAGAATCATGTACTGGGCAGAGGTAAGGGCAGTGCCTAAGAGCCGGGTAAGTCCTGACTTGTTCAAGTTCCACAAACCAGCCCTGCATGGCTGGAAATTATTAACGCTGAAGAAAGCAGTATTAGCTATCTCTGGAGAAGCAAGCAGGAGTCCAGACCGTATAGGGCTTTGGAGGCGTTTGGTCTTGAGCCTAATGTTAATGGTAAGCCACTGCAGGTTTATAAAAGCAGGGGATGATGTAACTAGACTTGTTTTTTAAGACATTCACTCGGTATGGTCTGTGAAAAATAGATGAGAATAGGTCAAGAATGGTGGCATGGACAACAGCTGGGAAGTTAATGGAGTAGTCCAGGAAGGAGAATCCTGGCGTGAACTAGAGAGCAGATGAGGGGAAATGGAGTGGTCTGAGATTTATTTAGGAGGAGGGAGCAACAGGACTTTGTGGATTGGGAGAGAGGAGTCAAGGATGACTCTCGGTTTTTGCCTGTAGTAATGGGATGGTCGAAAGCACTATGGAAAAAAAGATAAAAGTCAATTGACTTCTAGGCATCAACACTGACATGGATGATTAATTTATCTTATAGACTGGCCTCTCAGTTTCTTAAGCTCCTCGTCTCCAATGATGATTTTTCCTACCCTTCCTCAGCCTCTCACTCCTCTCTGCCTTGTTCTCAACAACACTGTGCCATCTCCAAAACCTGACCACCTCTCCTATCCTTCCAGCCCAATCAATCAGATTTCATGCATTAAAATCACTCCCTTATAAGGGCGCCTGGGTGGCTCAGTTGGTTAAGCGACTGCCTTCAGCTCAGGTCATGATCCCGGAGTCCTGGGATCGAGTCCCACATTGGGCTCCCGGCTCAGCGGGGAGCCTGCTTCTCCCTCTGACCCTCTCCCCTCTCATGCTGTTTCTCTCTCGCTCGCTCTCTGATGAATAAATAAATAAAATCTTTAAAAAAAAAAAATCACTCCCTTATAGACACTCTTACCTCACTTTATCCCCTCCCACTGTCCCACTTTCCTGGTAAACCCAACTTGCCCGCACTTGTTAGGAGGAAAAAGAGAACCATGCTGTTGAGTTACACTTTAAATTCATGGGTACAAATATTAAAAGGTATCCAACACTATCTGGAGTTCCTATCCTTTGCCTCACTTTTCCATTCTTCAGAACTCTTCCCATATTTTCTCCCTGAATTTTTCTATCTTCTCCCCCTACTTTTCCTTTCCCTGCATTCTACATCCAACACTAACTCATATTTCACTGAGAAAAGGGAGGTCATTAAACAGGAACTTTCTCCTCTCACCACCAGTTCTACTAATCTGCCTGTACCTGTGGCCACTTTCCTTCCTCTGATAGATGAAAGTTTCCTGCTCCTATCAGAGGCCATCTTTCCAGCTATACTAATGCCAGCCTCTTGTCTTCTCTAGGTTTCTCTCCTGCAGTTATCCTGTTTTCCTGCCCACCAGTTCTCCCACTAGAGAATCATCCCATCAGCATACAAACATGCTCTAGTGTTTACCATCTCAAAAACAAAAATCCTCCCTTATCTCACATTCCATCCTTAGGCACAGCCTCATTTCTCTCTGTCTCACAGCAGAATTTCTTGAATGAGCTATAGTCTATAGTTAGTCTCTCTACTTCTTTTTACATTCTCTCCTCAGCCCATCCAGCTGGGTTTCCACTCTCATCACAAACTGCTTCTGTGGTAACCAGTGTCTTAATTCAGTTTGACAAATCCCATGGTCCCTTTTCTCAATCTGTCCTGACCTCTCAGCATCATCCATCATGGTTGAGTCAAAATTTTACTGACTAAATTTTACTTTTCTTCTTGCTACTTTAGCTATTTCTCAAGCCCCTTTAGTAATTCCTTTTCTACTCAACCTTGAAATGCTAGAGAGCCTTGGGGCTCCATCTTGGACCCTCTTTAGGCCTCTATCCACACATTCTTTTTAAGTAACCTCATTCGAGCCCACACCAAACACCATCCATACCATCATGACTCATTTCTGTAATTCTGGCCTAGACCTCTCCCTATAGTAGCAGCCCAAATTTAACACGTCCAAGACGAAGCTTGCTTTTCCCCTCCCCCCAAACCTTTATTGCCCCCCATCCCCTGGTTTCCCATATCTGTGAACAATATCAGCCAGTACCTCAAGCGAAAAGTTTAAGTTATATTGATTCTTCTTTCTCTCACCTAAATCTATTCCTACTGACTTCCTCAGTAACGTATGCCATATCTATCCAATTCCTGCTACCGCTATACTCTCACTCTTGTCCAAATCGTTAGATCTTGCCCATGTTACCGAAATAGCCTCTTAATTTGCCTTTCCACATCTTCGCTAAAATCTGTTTTCCATACAGCAGGCACAGTGATCTTTTTTAAGATGTACATCAGTCAGTGTTTCTCAAGCTGGGGAGATTTTGCCCCCAGGGGCAAATGTCTGGAGGTGCTTTTGGCTGTCACAACTGAGTGAATGCTACTGGCCTCCAGTGGGTAGAAACCAGGAATGCTACAAACATCCTACAAAGTACAGGACAGTCCCGCACAACAAAGAATTATCTGGCCCAAAATGTCAGTCGTGCCAAGGTTAAGAGACCCTGGTTTGTGGGGCACTTGGGTGGCTCAGTCATTTAAGCATCGAATCTTGATTTTGGTTCATGTCATGATCTGAGGGTCGTGAGACTGAGCCCCGCATCAGCTTCTCCCTGCTTGGGACTCTCTCGCTCCCTCTGCCCCTCCCCCACTCACCCTTTCTTTTAAAAAAATAATAATTTAAAAACCCTGGTTTGTGTCATTTCTCTGCAGTGCTGAGTGTGGATAACTTAGGGGTGTTGAAAGAGCTAAATCTGAGCCTCTTTTGGGGGGCCATAGCTCCAGCTGTTCGCACAGGACATGCTCAGAAGTAAAGGTGTCCCTCCCTCTACTTTAAACTTCTCAGTGGCTTCCAACTTTACCCAGACAAAAATACAAACTCCTTATCCTGGTTTATAAAACCCACTATGATCTGGCCCCTGCCTACTTCTCAGATTTTAATTTCTCTACCTAAGCCACTATGCTCTAGCCATTAGGTATTCCCTCAGTCTCTGAATTTGCCAAACTTGTTCTCAGGGCCTTTGCACTGTTTCCAGCATGTGGAATGCTCTCACACCTGATCTTTGCTTGGCTAGATCTTAACCATTCAGCTTAAACTTAGCTCCTCAGCCACCTAACTTAGTTACAAAGTCACTCTTGCATTACCCTGTTTCTTCTGCAGAGCCCTTACCACTACTTAGTCTATCTCCAAAGCTAAAGTGTAGCCTAGCTTTGGAGATAGACATGAAAACAGAAACCTTTTTTGTCTTGTTCACTGCTGTCTAGCTTGTCCTCAAGCAGTGTCTGGCTCGGAGATGCTCAGTAGATAACACTGGATGAATGAATGAATGACCACATTAAGTCTGGATGCTTATCATAGAACCAAGTGAAGATGTAGCACAAGACAAATGAATATATCGCTATGGTATTCAAGTTGGAAATAAAATGTGGAAACAATTTAAGAATAAAAACTATAAAAAAAAACAACATAGGTCTGGATGAGCTCACCTACAGTGAAAGCAAAGAGAGATTCTATTGAAACTTACCATTTATTGACATAAATGTCAGTAGAGAAGGAGCCCCGAAAAGGGCCTGCCCTGTGCCCCTTTATGGAGCTCAACCTCTCAGACCTCAGAGGGGCACAAAAAGGGCCCTCGGGCCAAGTTTATCCCTGGCACCGCCCTCTCGGCCGGTCTCCGCGCACAGGGCCCCCACGCACCTCTGGGGGAGCCATCCTGGGGAGCGGCGACCCTCTTGGTGAGCGGCGTGCGCTTGGGTCCCCCAGCCAGTGCCTGCAGCCCGTAGGAGAACTGCGGCGGGTCGTTCCAGCCACGCTCCTTGTTGCCTGCGGAAGTGAGGGGACATGTGAAGCGAGCCCCGGAGAGACGACGGCTCCACCCCTCCCCGTGCAGTAGCTGCCTTCAGCTTGGGTAGGGGGACGACCCAGCGCCCCTAGGCCGCCGGCCGCGCTCACCCGGCTTCACGTACAGCTCCGCCATCTCCACTTCCGCAAGGCAGGCAGCACAGCGCGTCACTTCCGGGGCGGCCGTACACCCGAGCGGGTCGGGGCCGCCCCCGGGCCGGCCGGTTGCCAGGAGCCCTCTACGTTGAAAGGCTGTTCAGAAATGCCGGGAGCCACTGTGGGAACGCTGCCCCAGCTCCCTGAGGTACTCGAAATCTCCAGCTAATAAAACATCGGGGCCCTGATCACAAGGCACTAAAGGGGCCTGTTTTCCAAGAGGCGGCGCTCTAGGAGCCCTAATCCCCTGTAGGTTCAAACTCTTGTCACAGTTGCTCTCAGGAGTAAGTTTTAACCACCAGAAACTCCTTCCTCACAAATGTCCGTGTGTGATCTAACCAGCTGGAATTCTAGAACCTCACCTCTGTCTACTGCCCTGCACATTTATACTCCCTAGGCTCAGTAACTAGTATTCACTTTCCTTCAGTACTTAGGTCAGGTTAAGTATCTTACTGGAGCCTCCACAACCCTGAGATTTCCTAGTTGTACTATGTATTATCTACCTTATTTAATGCTTGTTCATCTCCCCTTCTGAAGGTGGAACCATATTTTATGTCCCCACTGTCTAGCACAGACCTTAGAAAATACATTTGTTGAAAGAATGAAGTCAGATTTCTGCCACACCCATGTCCTCATGTGACTACAGGCAGCCAACACCAAGCAGAGACACAGACACTCACCTCACGCAGGTGTTAACCCCCAACCCTGTCCCAGGCCCAATATACTCACACCCAGTGAGGTCACTGAGGGATTTTTATTTGTACTGATTTTGCTATAAAGTGTTGCTGAGGTAGAGCCAACTGTCCAGGGCTGGACAGGGGCAAGGAACACAGGGACCCAGGGAAAGGGCAGCCAGGGGCCTGGGTTGTGGTGCAGGGCCTCTCAGTCATCCCTATAAATATTTAATAAACCGGGCAATAAACAGAGGGTAGGCAAGAGCCGGAGGGGCAGGCAGAGAAGGCTTCAAGGAGTGAGAGGCTACAGGCCCCTGGAGAATGAAGGGGTATAGAGTTGGGCATGGACCCAGAGCCTCCTTACCCAGTCCTCCTGGATTAACTTAGGGCATATGGAGCAGAGAGGGTTTCAGACGGAAGGTATCAAGAAAAGAGAAGACACCCCGCTTTCGAGGGGCTGCCCCTGCACCCCCAACCCCTCCTTTGAGCAGGGGGAGCGGGAGGGGACCTCCTGGGGAGTCCACGGAGCTGGTCCGCTTGAGCCGCAGGCGAGCACGGGCCTGGGCACCCCAGGCCTTGCCTCGAGCTGCAGAGGCCACAAGACACTTCTGGTACTGAACCTAGGGAAAAGGGGAATGTGAGGATCCAGCTCCTTTCTGCCCCTGGACTCCCTGAAAGCTTCTGCAGAAGAGGCAACTGGCCATGGCTTCAGTCTGCTATGAATGAGGCTGGTAGTCGGCCCCATCTGGAGCCCCTACAGCATTCCCAGGGAGCTCAATAACAAAAACAGAAAATCTGACATTTACTGAGCATTTAAGGAGGGCTGGACACTGTGCTAAGTGCTTCCCATAATTTAACTTAATTCAAAGTTATTTATCAGGCGTTATTACCATTTTGCAAATGAAGAAATTTTGGTTCAGAGAGAATATACGTAACTTGCCCAAGGTCACCTAGGCAAAAAATGATAGAACTGGAGTTCAGACTTACCCATAATGTATCCTAAGTGATCTTCCTGACCCACAAACTTAAACTCACTGCTCAAAACCTTTCAATGGCTCAAAGTGACTTGGGACAAAATAAACTCATGACCACAATCTCTAAGTTCTTCCATGACCTGATGTTTTTTCTGCCCCCATCTCTCACTTCATCCACCCCTCCAGATACACTAGATTCTTTTAGATACCCTAATCCACCAGTATTGCTCTCATCTTCACAGCTGGGCGTCCTTGTATTTGGCACACCTTCTGTCCCATTCCCCTTTACCAAACTTCTTCCTTGAACCTTCAATTCTCAGCTTCCTATCACCTCTTTCAGGTGGCCTTCTGGAATGGGCTATCTCCATCATCCTGTGGTGTACAACTCCCTTCTGGTCTGTCTCTGATCTAACCTGAGTGTTGTGTGAGGGCAAAGTCTGTGCCTTCTCTACCAGTGAATTCCCAGGATCCAGTATGGTGCCCGGGACCCTGTAGGCACTCATGTTTGTTAAGGAAAGAGTAAGCTGAATTCATAGAGTGCAAGCATCCCACATTCCAATGTGCACAGATGCCAGGAAATAACCTAAACGAGAGAAACAGGAGAAATAGTGCCCACCCTACCACGAACAGCCCCTACACAATTCAACTGAATGTTGAAATTTATATGTGTGGACCCAGTATCAGAGCTTCTGATATTTTAAGAGAAACAGGAATAGCAATTAATAACATGAAATATTCTGGCTTTAAATATTAGCAACTAACTTGAACTTATTAAAAACAGCATGAGGGCCAAATAAAAGAGTAGTTTACTATAGTCAGCCCTGGGATTACTGGTTTGTGATTTCTGGAGGGTGCCAATCCTGAGCCCCAGTCACCAGTACAGAGCAGCTGCAGGGCAACCCCACCCACCCATCCCCACCCGTAACTCACCATGCAAGCAGCCTGCACAGCTTCAGAGAGTCCCCCTGCATGGGGCTGGCACCAGAAGGCTGCACACTGGAAGCTCTGACGGCCCAGGTCAGCAATGAGGCCAAAGGTGTGAGGGTCACGGCCAACCCCAATAAAGGTCACAAGGCGCACAGGGCACTGCCATAGTGGTTCCTCCTCTGCACCAGCTTCTGCCTGCCCACACCAGGCCTGGTCACTAGAGGACTGGGCACTGGCTGGACCCAGTGAGCTCTTCCAATAGCAAGCAATGAGCCCCTGAGCATCCCTCCCACCCCTCCACAGCCCCCACCTTCACCTTCTTCTGGTACCTGAATGGGATGTGCAGTCATTAGAGAGTCAGTCACACTGAGCATGGCAGGGACCCAGGTATCCTGGTCCCCCCGGGTGGTGAGGGTACCAATGGCCTCATTCAGCACGTCCATGCCTGGGGGGACATGCCCACCATAGTGTCGCCCAGATGTAAAGAAAAAAGGGATCTGCGGGGAGTGTCTAGGCCCCTCTCACGGACTTGGGATTCAGAGAGATGGCAATAGAAGGGCTGGGGCTGGGCTTAGAATCCTGAGTTGGGAAGGATGGCACACCGTAGGCCGGACAGGGCCATGGGAGCACTCTGAGAAATGGTGGTAGACCCTACCATACCCACCTTCCCTGACCTCATGTAGCCCACCTCCTCAGCTAGCTCAGTCCTCACCCAGCTCAGTCCTCACCCATGGCTTTGTTGACTGGCAAGGTCCCCATGTACAGTGCCTCGTACTTCTGAGCAGCCTGGCTCACTGCATCCAGCAGCTCCACTGAAATGTACACGCAGCAAGTTGGCCTGAGCACTCTCTCAATGACCCCCTTACCCATCCTTCTGAGAACTGGAGCTAGTAAAAGGAAGGCCATGGATGCTCCTCCAATTCAGAGTTTGGGATCCCTGGAACCAGCACACATCAGAAGTCCCACATCTCCAGGGAAGTACTAAACAACCATGACTAAACAGCCCAAACTTTCACTAAAGTAGCCTCTTACTGCAATGCAAGACCTCCCTCCCCATACCTTGCCGTGGCAGGTCTTCGGGGGAGATGGGGTCTAGGGAGGAGCAAGGGGAATCACCACTGACACCTACTCGCTCTGACAAGATCTGAAACACAGTGCAACCAGCATGAGATAAAGGGAGAGGGTAAATACTTCCCTGACCCAACCACCTTGGAAGCTTCAGACCAGCTCCATACCCACAATTCCTGCCCCATTCTTGGCCCTTACCTGGGCACAGAGCCCATGTAGGACACTGGCGATGGCCTTGGCAGGGACATCACAGCGAAACACATGGCACTTGAGCATACAGCTGTCTTTGTCACCCGCCACAAAAGCGAAGTCCCTAGCAGGGTGAGAGATGGGGCTGGGGCAGGGGTGGAGATTGGGGTAGTGTAGAGGCTGGGTAGGAACAGGGACCTGTAGTGCCTGCAGGAGACTGGTGAGTCAGGCAAAGGACATGGTGGGGATAGAATAAGGAGGTCAGGGCTGGGGCTCAAGGCACCGGGCTGTCGCTCACCTGTCACTGTTCCGGAAGCATGTGGGAGCACAGGAGAGAATCAGCCCAGCCTCTCAGGCTCTCCCCCATCCGTCCCTGCTGAGCTGGGCCCACCCTCCCCAACCACAGCTGGACCAGGCAGGGGAGGCAGAGCTTGGGTCCATGTCAGAGAATCTGTGTCCAGGGGTTCAAGTACAGAGGATCAGCATCAGTGGGGATCACAGCCTGCAGGAGGGAGGGAGGAGCAACTCTCACTTGAAGGGGGATGTAGGGGTCCTCACCGGCCCTTGGAGCTGCCCACACCCCACACACGGATGTGCACCAGAGGCTGGCAGTGGATCAGACTGTGGTCCAGAGGATTCACCAGGCTCATGGCATCCTTCTTTAGGATCATCAGCATGTTCTGGCCCTGCCAAGGAAAGGTCAGTCCAGAGCTCAGACGAAGGTGGATGCCACGGAGAACAGGCAATTCAGCAACAACTGTCTCTGCTGGGCCCTGGGCTGAATCCCTTGAAGGGCCAGCCAGCTCACCTCACCCCAGGCACCATCTGGGGGCTGGCTGCGGCTACGGCTGCGAGTCTGGGCCAGTTGCTGGATGCAGTTATTGACTGCAATACTGCTCTTCCCTGGTACCAGATCCTCTTCGGGTACCTCTACCCAACCCAGGGAGCGGACTGCAAAGCACTGACGGGTTAGGGGAAAGGACAGGAGGGCTCTGAGTAAGTGGAGGTGGACATGGAAGTGGAACAGGAGGCAGAATAGGATGGGAGATGTTGCAGGTTCCACACACATAAACCTTCTGGTACCCACTCCCTTCACACTTCATCACTTCTTCCCAGCCCACTCCCACCCCTGACCTTTCCCTTGGAACAATCCACCACCCCACACCATTCCTTGGGCCCTCAGGCCCAAGACACTACCTTAGCCCCTGGCTCCACACTCTGGATGTAGGACTCCTCACCATACCAGGGCAGAGAGTTCCTGGAAGAGAGCCAGAGCTCGTAAGGTGACCACACTTCCTACAGAAGGGACAGTAGGGAAGCCCTGACTGCTTGATGGGCATGAGATGTGGGATAAGACCCAGAACCTAGTGCCCCAAATATAAAACCAGAGTGGGAGAGGGCCCAGGACATATTAAATGAATATAACACAGAGTGAGGTTTAAAATTCAAACAAAAATTCAGGACACAGGACATAGAATAAAAGTTGCAAACATGGAACAGGATCCAGAACTTGGACCAAAACCCCAAATTGAGACAAGACTCTCTAGAACACAGGACAGGAACCCCCACAGAAAAGAGCTTAGTACAGTGGCCAAGATCTAGAATGTGGTTTATCAGTACCCAGAATAGGAAAGAACATGTAGAAAAACACAGATCATGGAACAAGGGACAAACTTCAAAATACTAAGTCTCAAGAAATGGGACAGAGCCAAGAACCTGGGCTTGAAAGCAAAATGTGAGTCCAGCTGCATCTCTGAATATCATGGAACCCCAAGTCTTTCATTCTGCCTGGCCTATCCCTGTTACCTGCGGTCCAGTGAGCTCTCCAGGCTAGAGAAGGATCTCCCCTTGGGGGGCCGAAGTCCCCAAATCCCCTCCATCCTCTGTAGAGAGGGAACTAGGTCAGTGTGGCAGCAGGCCTAGATCCACACACAGGCTCAGACCCCCCTCCTCACACTCCACCTACCGTGCCTGGATCCTCTGCATCGCCTGTGTCCCAGGTTGGGCGCTGCCACTGGGTGCTGCCACTGGGTACATGCCAGTAGTAAGTACCTGCAGCATCTCGTATCTTCCTCCAGCCAGGGGGCAGCCCTGGCTCCCCCTCAAGACTCTGGTCCCCCCACAAGTCATCTACAGGAACATGGGATGGGGAGAGGAATCACGGGATTGGAGAGGGAAGGCATATTGGTGTGTTCAGAATAACCCTGTCAGAACCAACCTCCAGGGGCGCCTGGGTGGCTCAGTCCTTTAAGCAGCTACCTTGGGCTCAGGTCATGATCTCAGGGTCCTGGGATCAGCCCCACATGGGGCTGGCTCCCTGCTCAGCAGGGAGCCTGCTTCTCCCTTTTCCCGCTTGTGCTCTCTCTCTCTCTCAAATTAATAAATTAAAGAAAGAAAAAAAAAGAACACTCCAACCCAAAGGGACAATCCTTAGGATGGAGGTCCAGGAGGTCCTCTACAGCGCAAAGATCCAGGGATCACTTGTCCCCTGGTCCTCACCCTGAGACATACCCCGTCGACTCCCTCGTTCCCCCTCAGCTCCCCATCCTCCCATCGGGCCCCTCCGTGCACACCATCGCAGTTGACCAGAATGATGGCCAGCATGTAATCCTTGCCCAGCATAGCCCCGACCGCGTCCCCGCCGGCCTTCGCCGGCCCGCAATCTCAGCCCAGCTCGACCTCCGGAGCGGCTGCCCTCACAAACCCAGCCTCTCTGCTCTGGCCAGGCCAACGGGCGCTGCACAAATACAAGGTGGGGTAAGAGCCGAGTCCCAGGGGCGGGAAAGGACGAGCCTGAGCAGCGCCGCCCGCCGAGGGGTGGCGCGTGTAAACAGGCCTCTAGATCCCCAAGTGGGTGCACGTTTCCGTGCGTGGCTCCGGGAAAAGCGCACCGACCGACGCCAACGCCCCCGCTGACATCACGGCGCAACTCTGAGCTCGAGGGGCGGACGTCCAGCCAGACGAACGTGCGCAGTGCGCACATGCGCACGAGTGAGCCTATCACGTCCAGGTCGTGAGCGCGCGCGGACACGCAGCTTGTGTCGCGCCGGAGGCGTCACGTGGGAGTACCTGAGAGAAGGAGACTACCCGGGCTCCGCCGTCGGGAGAGCACCTCCACCCTTTCCAAAAATGCCCCGGAAGTGCCTTCGCCCTCAGTAAAGATGGCCGTAGCACTTAGCATGAAGGAGGCGGGGCTGCGCCTGCGCAACAAGCTCGGCGGGGAAGATGGCGGATGACAAGGTGAGTGAATGTGAGGGTTATCTGCAGTGCGGGGTGGTCTTCACACCGTTTTAGTCCTTGGGAGAGGCGATACTTGGAGCCTCTCTTGAGTAGGGGTGCCCTTTATGGGGTTTTTACTTTTGTCGGGTTTATACTCTTGTCGACTGCCTCAACACTGGGGAGTGGAGTAGCGGAGCACTACACGAGGCAAGCTGAGCCGGGCATCTCCCAGGTGTCCTCTCCCGATCCTTAATTACTGGCACACACTCAGACACACTCACACTGACATACTCCTCACTCTTGCATTCCCTAGCCCCCCGAAATTTCCCTCCTGGAAACACAATGTTTCCAAGCCACACGGACACGGACATTCTCATTCAAACTCTTCTTGCGCGCACACTGAATTTTATACTTCGAGGTGATCAGAGCCACTTAGTTCATTTACCCACACTCCTGCAGACAGCCACCCCACGCCCACCCCAGCTAGCGCATCCAGTCACACATTCTGTTTGGGAAGCCCAGGCAGAAATCAGGTTTACCCCAGAGCGTCCAGGGAAGTGCCTCAGGCCATTATTCACCATTGGTCTTAAGTTTAGCACCATCCGCACTTAGGCTTGGGGACCCAGTAGGCAAGACTGACTGGTTGCCACTTTCATGTAGCTTAATAGTCGAGTCAGTCAGCCTGATAAATCCAACTGAAGGTGTCCTAGCTGTTCCTTTTGCCTCCCTACACACTGCTTGCTATATAAAATTCTGTAAGGGTTGTCACAGATGCAGATCCCATCTGTCACCCCCTCCATGACCCCTGTGTGAATTCACTTTTTTTTTTTCAATATTTATTTATTTGACAGAGAGAGACATAGCTAGATAGGGAATACAAGCAGGGGGAGTGAGAGAGGGAGAAACAGGCTTCCTGCTGAGCAGGGAGCCCGATGCGGGGCTCGATCCCAGGACCCTGGGATCATGACCTGAGCCGAAGGCAGACACTTAACGATTGAGCCACCCAGGCTCCCCTGTGAATTCACTTTTGGATGTCTTTTTTTTCGTTACCACCATCATCGCAGGAAGTTTTTATAAGAGATTTCTCATGCTCACACCCCCACCCACCCAGCCTCTGATAGACCTGAGCAGAGAATAGGGCTGCGTTAACCTGCTGGAGCCGGCTTCTTTCTTGTTCTAGGATTCTCTGCCCAAGCTTAAGGACCTGGCATTTCTCAAGAACCAGCTGGAACGCCTGCAGCAGCGTGTGGAAGACGAAGTCAGCAGTGGTGTGAGCCAGGTAAAGTTGCACCTGCCTACCACTCCCCCCGCAACCCACCGTTGGACTGCATTGACCTATACACTTTTGAATGGGTAATAGAGATTTATTCAGCAAATGGTTATTGAGGGCCAGTTCTCTGTGACCCCCAAGGAAAGTTTCCCTAAGAAAATGACACTTGAACTGGCATCTTAAATAGAAGTTAACTAGGTAAAGAGGAGAGAAGAGAACATTTCAGGCAGATGGAACAACATATGCAAAGCTCTCATGGTTGGAAGTAGCATGATGAATATGGGGAGTGACAATAATTTAGTTTGGCTACAGTAATGGGGAGCGTGATAGGAAGTGATGCTGGAAAAGCCGGCAGGGGTCAGATTCCTCAGGGACATCTCTGTAGCTTTGTGGTCGTAGGGTTCTGTGGTTGGAGTCTTCTAACCACAGGGTTCTGAGATTGTGTGATCAGGACTTCTAGGTTCTTTTTCTGCCTCTAGAACCTTGAGAGAATCTTTGGAAAGAATACTGCAGCTTTTTAGAGTAAGGAGGAGCAGGTGGTGGGATGCTCTAGGGTGAGCTTGAGTAGATCCTGGATAGAGAAGGGAGACCCTGGCTGAGTTTTCTCCTTCATTTTGCTCCACAGGATGGCTCGCTCATGTCCTCCCCATTCCTCAAGGGCTTCTTAGCCGGCTATGTGGTGGCCAAACTGAGGGCATCAGCAGTATTGGGCTTTGCTGTGGGTACCTGCACTGGCATCTACGCAGCTCAGGCATATGCCGTGCCCAATGTGGAGAAGACACTGAGGGACTATCTTCGGTCATTGCGAAAGGGGCCTGACTAGCTCTGGATCCCATGGGGGAGGAAGGATGAGCACCTCGGGCCTGCAGGGAGAGGCCTTTCAACCACAGACACCATATTTGGCTTCCCCACCTATCACCCTCTTGCTATCTCCAACTTGTCCACAGCCTTCATCCTTGCTTTCCTTCCTGCAGAGGGTAAACAGTGGCTTATCAGCCAGCAGTTGGGACGCCCCTCCTTAACCCCATGGGACTGGCCCCGAGACTGTGGCTTCTAGGGCCACCAGCCCCTTCGTCTTCCAGCCCTGACTGTGGAGTTTGCAGCTGACTCTGATTCTCAGTATTCTCTCTAGCGATGTACCACGGCTCCTCCGTCTTGCGAGCTGGCTCCATACTGATGTTCCCCAAACTTGTTACAATTCCTGCTGCCTCCTTGCTAGCTACACAGGCCACCTGGGGGCTGGTTTGGGCATGAGTGTAGAGGACGGGAGTACGCCAGGCCTGGGCCGTCCCAGGCAGGCCCGCTGGACCCTGATGCTGCTCCTGTCCACCGCCGTGTATGGCGCCCATGCCCCGTTGCTGGCACTGTGCCATGTGAACGGCAGAGTGCCCTTCCGGCCCTCCTCGGCCGTGCTGCTGACTGAGCTGACCAAACTACTGCTGTGCGCCTTCTCCCTCTTGGTGGGCTGGCAAGCATGGCCCCGGGGGGCCCCACCATGGCGCCAGGCTGCCCCCTTTGCACTATCAGCCCTACTCTACGGAGCTAACAACAACCTGGTGATCTATCTTCAACGTTACATGGACCCCAGCACCTACCAGGTGCTGAGCAATCTCAAGATTGGAAGCACGGCCCTGTTCTACTGCCTCTGTCTCCAACACCGCCTCTCTGCACGCCAGGGCTTAGCACTGCTGCTGCTGATGGCAGCAGGGGCCTGCTATGCAGCTGGGGGCCTCCAGGACCCTGGGAACACCCTTCCTGGACCCCCTTCAGCAGCTGCTGCTGGCCCCATGCCCCTGCATATCACTCCACTGGGACTGCTGCTTCTCATCTTGTACTGCCTCATCTCGGGCCTGTCGTCCGTGTACACAGAACTGCTTATGAAGCGACAGAGGCTGCCCCTAGCACTTCAGAACCTCTTCCTCTACACTTTCGGTGTGCTCCTGAATCTAGGTCTGCATGCAGGTGGCGGCCCTGGCCCCGGCCTCCTGGAGGGTTTCTCCGGATGGGCAGCGCTTGTGGTGCTGAGCCAGGCACTAAATGGACTGCTCATGTCAGCCGTCATGAAGCACGGCAGCAGCATCACACGCCTGTTTGTTGTGTCCTGCTCACTGGTGGTCAATGCCGTGCTCTCGGCAGCCCTGCTGCGGTTGCAGCTCACTGCTGCCTTCTTCCTGGCCACGCTGCTCATTGGTCTGGCTGTGCGCCTGTATTATGGCAGCCGCTAGCCCCTGACCACCTCCACCCAGACTCCTGACCCTGTGGATTGGGTACCACCATGAGAGCCACCTCCCAGGCCTCCGGACCCTTCCTCAGCCGCCAGCCCTGTAACAAGTGCCTTGTGACAAAAGGGGTGGTGAGAGCAGCTAGGTTAGTCTCTGGAGGTGGGTGAATGAAGGGTTACCCCAGGAGACTTGAAGACTGGGTTTGATTAAAGAAACTTAACTTCCCAGAAGTCCATCCACACTAAGGAATTGGGGAAGCATCAATACCTAGGCCTTAGAAATGACCCCACCCCCAATGGAGGGGGCTCCCTGCCTCATCCTGCATGAATGCAGTTGTTTCAAGTGGGGTATGGGCACCAGTTGGCTTTTCCTTGCCTCCTGTGGTCACCCCAGCAGACCCGTTGCCCCCAGGCCTGGTGCGGGCTACTCCAGCCCAGCTTTGGTACGTGACTCCCCCATTAGAGACATTCAGCCCTCACTGTAATGCAGGAAAGCCCGATTGCCACAGCTTTTATATCGATCACCCAGGCCACTCTTCCAAGCTCCCCCAGCTCCAGCAGCACCTGGAGACAGTGCCCCATGCTCCCTCCACAGTGCTGCTTTCCACACCCATCCAGCCTTTGTTCTGGAAACCCCAGAGAGGGCTGGAGCTTGACTCATCTCAGGGAATGTTGCCCCTGGGCCCTGGCTTAAGGCTACACTCCTGACCTCTCTGCTCACCCCAAGGGCCCTCTCCAAGCCCACTGCCCCCTCTACAGTTCCTAGGAGGTACCATTCTTCTCACTCTGGGTCCTGCCCCTGCCTAGCAGTGTCCCAGCTCTCAACAGTTTAGGGAAGCTCTACACAGAGTGACCTGGAACCAGGCACAGGGAAATTTGGTGTAGCTCAATCAGTGTCTCTATGTAAGCAATAAAGTCTTAATAAAGTGTTCTGGGGTGCAGGTGGTTCCTGCAATTGGCTATGGTAGTCCTGTGTCTTCCGTGTTGCATATCTTCACTCAAACATAATTTTGTGCCCCTAGTGCCCTGAATGTCTTAATGCTAGAGTAACTTACAGACTAGGGGGAAAGACTCTTTTCTCCTAGTTGTTGCCAGGAGCATTATTTCCTTTAGGGCTCCAGGGAATGGAGACTGTTCTCCGTCGTAGAACTCTCCAGATTTCTCTGAAGCACAAACTTGGGCGCTGTGGGGAATTTGGAGGGATTCTTGGGAATAGAAGGTACTGGGCCTGGCAGGACAAACTAGATTTTAGGCTAGAGAACTCATGGGTTCAGTATGGTTTTGATTCTCATTTCCTCTGGTTCCCTCATTGATATTTCTTCCTGTCATCTCTCCTCATGGCCAGAGGAACATGAGGCCCTGCTCCCATGGGAGAATACCTAGTAAACTTAAAAAAATTTTTAAAAGGAAAAAAAAAGTGAGACCTATTGGAGAATCTTAGGAAGTAGGGTAGGGTTTGGGAATCTTTTTTTCTTTTTTCTTGTTCTTTAATAAGCTCTCTAAATGATTCCAATGCACACTGCATCTTGTGAACCGCTATGTGCAATGTAGAACTATGGCCAACCAGGCTTGAATTTGAATTCTGGCTCTGTCACTTATTAGCTGACTGTCCTTGGGCAGTTACTTAACCTCTCCAAGCTTTAGTTGCCTTACCTCTGAAATGGGGGTCAAATGGCACCTATCACTATATAGGGTAGTGGGAGAGGCTAAAATGAAGTTGCGGATATTAGGCGCTTAACAGGGACTGACAGTGAGACCTGATTTAGTAGTAGTGTTAATTATCCATAATGAAGGTTAGCTTGGTTATTGAGTCCCATCTCCCTCTCCTTTCTAGGCCCCTTAAGAATGAAGAGAAAGGAAGCCACCCTTGCAGGATTACCGATCAGATTTCTCCCCAGGGTAGCAATCCGGCAATGACTGGCGTCAGCCTACTCTACTCCCTGCCGAAGCTGCTGGTTCTGGGCTTGGAGCTCCTGGTTCTGCGTGGCCAGGTCGATGTTGTCTTGCAGGACACCAGCCAGCAGGCTTCGGTGGTGATGCTCAGTGGTCATGGCCTGCTCCTCCCACAGCCTTCGCCAGGCTCGGAATACCTGTGCCCAGATTCAGAGATGCCTGTCAGTCAGTCAGCCTTGGAACCACTTCAAGGCCTGCCTTCTGACCTCACTGACCTGCAGCATATGGCGTGTCTGAGCTCGGGCAGCCTGCACGTGCAGGTCATAGAGGGCTGCGAGGTCCCGCTCCGCAGTGTCCTGCTCTGCCTGAAGGGCCTCCAGCTGGAGCCTCAGCACTGTCTGCTCCCGGGGCCATCTCTGCCTCTTCTTGGAGGCCTTCAGTGATAATACATAGTCTTTGTTCAGTGCCACCCGTGTGCCAGGCTCTGTTCTAAACACTTCATGTGTGTTATTTCAGTTTATCAAATGAAAACCATATGAGGTAGTTGCCATTTTGGTTTTCCAAATCTGGTAGATAGATTTGGAAACTGTGGATCAGAGAAGTGACCTAACCTTGCCAAATTCACATGGCTAGTGAGGGGCAGAACTGAGATGACACATGCCTTTCAGTGGTTCACTGTCATTCTTAGGGTAAAGTCCAAATCAGAGGCATGGCACACACTGGTCTCTTTAGCCTCTCCTCTGACCTGCACCTGCCAGGGCCCACCAGATGGACAATTTGCAATACCCAGACTACTTTGCCACTGCTTCCCTCTGGACTTTTGCTCATACAGTATTGTCCTCAGAACATATCCCCACAACCCCCATGGACACAAGTTTTGTTTTCTTAATTTGTTCAAACGAGTTATATGTACTCTGCCTCTATGTGATAAGTACAGACTGCCCAAGCAGAGCTCAGTCCCGTGAATTCCTTTGGCTGATTTGGTTTTTTGTCTCAGCTAAATGCCATCGTCTGTGATCCACTCCAGCCTGGGTCCGGCACACCTCTCTGTTCCCGCAAGCCCTTAGCTCCCTGCATCACAGCACTTTAGCCCTGAAAATGGCTTCATCTGTCCCCCACAAAGCTGTGAGGACCAGGAGAGAGGGTATGGCCCACTCTGTTGTGACTGAGGCTGGATCCCAGCGCCCAGCACAGTGCCTGGACCAATTAGAATAAGCCTCAGGTCCCCTACTTGACCCTCCTTACCTCCTCTCCAGCCACCAGGCCTTTGACCTGGTCACCTGCCACCTCCTCCTCCTGTTCCAAATACCTCAGTTCCTCTTGGATCCATATTTCGTGCTGTTCGTGCAGTCTTTTCCTCCGTGCCTGGGCCAAGAAGAACTGCAGGGCCACATCTGGGACCTGCCAGGGCTAGGTGGCATTAGTCTAGGCTCAGCGAGAAGCCCATGTGTGTTCATAGCCTTGGGACTCAGGGTCCAACTTTTCAACAGAACCCCACTACCAGAGCTGCTCCTAGAACGCATCCAGGACCTAACTGGCCTGTAAGAGCCAGGAGCCTGGACAGAGACTTGGAGGTCATAGGGAGAAAGGAGAGGTATTGGCTCTGCTAATAGCTGCCATGGAGGCCTGAAGGATCCTATACCCCTAATGTGACCCAGTAGCAAAATAGCCTTCCCGTGCCCCTCCCTTAGGAATCACATAGGCTTTTGGGTCTTCTTTTTGCCAGAAGCTCCATATTTCTCCCTGATGTTGGGGCAAGGAAGCAGTAGACATATTAACTGGGCTCTTCAACTCCACTCCCCCAACATCTTCCGCTGTTCTGGGGCACATGAGGTATTACCTGTTCCTCAGAGTCCCTAAGAGGATGATTTTGGTGGAGCCCAGTTCCTAGAGATGCTGTTATTCCTACCACTGGAAGAAAACGCAGTTAAGCCCAGTAAAGGTGGAGAAGATACCCAGCTCCACCCCAAGCCCCAAACCCACCTTTGGGCTCTCCCTGGAAGCCTGGGCTGTGGCTTGCTGTTGAATCTATCAGCTGCAAGAATATAGTAGGAGTGAGAATTCCATACCCTTCCTCCCAGGATAGTGTGAGCTGAGCTCAGGGCTTTAAGATCAGGCAGATCGGGGTCCCAGCCCCTCCTCTCCTCAGCTGTGTGACGTCAGGCAGGTGACTAGTCTTTTGAATCCATGTAAAATAGAGCTGATGAAAGTTGCAGAGAGCATGAAATAAGATAAGGCACCCTGGGGCACCTGGGTGGCTCAGTCGTTAAGCGTCTGCCTTCGGCTCAGGTCATGATCCCAGAGTCCTGGGATCGAGTCCCACATTGGGCTCCC